CTACACAACCTATAAAATTGTTAGTACACTATCAAAACATGGCTTGAGTTGTTTTATATTTTTGGTTATTATGCTACAAAATGGGGTAGCTCAACCCCCATAGCTCATTCAGGTTCAATATTAATAATTTTTATTTATAAATAGTTAAAAACCCAAAAATAATGTATTGCATGTGTTGTACTTAGATTTAATTCAACCTAATTCAGGGGTGCAACTTAAGGGGTTGGCCGGTTGGGTCAGGTTGAGGATCAATCAAAGTGTAACCTAAAGTCTTAAACGTTGAGCTTGGGCTTAGATTAATTTAATTATGACTAAAAAGTTAATATATGGGTTAATTCAATTATAACATTTAATTATTGATGAAGTAAATTTAAAAAATAGAATATTAATGAATAATATGAACAAAATAATTATTTATTAATTAATTAGTAGCAATTTATTATCTAAATTATTAAATTATTTTTTTTGTAACAAATTACTAAAATTATTAGTTTTCATTGTTTCACTTTTCCTTGACACCGTACGGTCCCCGCTAGTAAAATTCTTAAGAAAATGAGCTATTTGGTAATCAGCAAAAAAGTTCAATTAACAATATTCAAATACGAGAATTGATTCTGTTTAGTTCTCATTTAGTCTTCCAACCTAGACCTGTTCATGGGTCGGGCTTTTACTTTTCATGAATAGAAATTTGTTAGGCCCGCGCCCGAGCCCGGCCCGACCAACGGGCCTACAACTTGGGCCCGAGCCCGGTCCTGATAAAAAGCCCGAAGCCCGACGATGACTGTGTTCGCCGGAGCTGAGTTCGTGGTGACTGTGAGCTGCGATTTTAATAGTGAAAAGTGTGTTAGTTCGCGTCTGAGAGAGATAGAGAGAGAGAAAGAGAGGGAGAGAGAGAGAGAGAGAGAGGAGAGGACTCACCGCCGGAGTTGTTGCACCGATGAATGTTCGCCGCCTTGCTGATTGTGTGGCTGCCTGAGAGTGTGAGGACTGAGGAGGATGTGAAGACTGAAGAGAAGAGAGGTTCGTCTAAGGGGAAAGAGGTAAAAGAGAAAAGAGGTTCGACTTAGAGAGTTGGGGTTTTTTAAGTTTAGTCTATAGGTCGGGCCAGGCCGGGCTCGAGCCGGGCTATTTTGACAATCCCGAATCCGACTCGAATTTATTGTGGGCCAGGCTTTTTGGCCTGGGGTTAAGCCCGCAGACTCATTTGCGTGTTCAAGCCCGTCCGGCCACCCAGCCCATGAACAGGTCTATTCCAACCCTGTCCATTTCCAAGTTAAGTCCCCAAGAGGGCAAGGGCCACCAAGGAGAAGGGGGAAGAGAGAGAGAGAACGGTGGTAGATTTTAAGGGTGATTGGCAGAGGAGACTTTTATCTGTAATCAGCTGCCGGCAGTAGTGGTGGAAGCAAGATGGGAGGAGGAAAGAAAGAAGATGAAGGGTATAGGAGGGTTTGGTTTCTCGAGAGAAGATAAATTTTGATAAAGAAAAAAACTGCAGAAAAATAATATTTTGAACCAAATATTCTCTCACCCGTCAGCTGAGCTCGCACATGCTAGATGACATTAACGTGCCTATATAATGTGGAAGACTATTATTGGTTCCACAGCCCTCTTCACAACGTTGCCCATTCACCCTGGACTCCTTTTCTTAACCCACTGCATTTGGCATTCCTTATTTTAAGAATTTATTTCTTTTTTATAGTTTATTCCTAGGGGCATTTTAACTACAAAAAGGAAATAAATCTTTGAAAAAGAATGCCAAATGCATGGTAGGTAAAAAAAACTCAATATTCAATTATTCATAGGGTCATTTTAACTACAAAAAAAGGAATGCCAAATGCAACCTAAACCTTGAATGGATAATTTAATGAAATGGGATTTGGTCCTCGTAAGACCGTAATTGCATCATTTGCATAGTCCCTTGCAGCACCTTCCCATGGAAAAAAATATAGAAGTAGGGAGATATTCTCAATATATGACTGTAAAAGACTATACAAACTATGAACCATGTAAACAAGTCTTTATGAGCACTGAATCCCATCTCCAATTTAATTATTTTACCTCCTTCAGACCAGTAATGGAGTAGGGGGCAAATTGCAGAAGTCCAGAGATTCAGGAGGGATTTTTGCACCCCCCAATGTATTACAGTCTGTATTCTTTAATTTAAATGCAATGTAGGTTGGATTTATTGTTAGTGTATGAGCAGGTGATTAAGGGAATAAACTATACTATTGACTTTGGCAATCTATGTCTTCTGTCCTCTAAGTAGCAGCCTAGGAAGGATTACAAAAACAAATATGTAGAGTAAGGTTTTAAAAATCAACATGGAATCAAACCGTTTTGGCCACCGGTTTTTAGTTTGATGGTTTTATCGTTTGGTTCAAGCATATAGTTTATTCCAACTTAAAAAATGACAATAATTAAAATTAAAAATAGTCAAAAACCATTGAATGGGTTAATGGTTCAATTGCCCAAATCAACGGTTTTTAGCTAAAGATCAGGTCAATGTTCAAAATATTGATACGCCTATACTGGCGTATCAGGTGAATCGATACAGTTTTTGGTACCCTTTTTTTTTATTTTTTTTCACAACTGGTTCAAGGGAACCGATTTAGGCCTCCCCCACACCCTGAACTAGTCAAACCCCCAATACACCCACTATAGGAGCACATTTAAGGGGTATCGAAACGATATGTATCGGCTGATACAGGTTAATACATATCGATACTTTAAATCTTAGGTTAGATTAAAAATGAAATGGAACTGATTGCTTACACAATTTCCATGACTGTTGCTAACCATATGAATCAAAAATATTTTGCATGTATTTGCAATATACGTATTTATATATTTATATTTGTACTATTTCTAAACTGAGCCATAGGTTAAATGTATGACACATCATTGGATTTGGTAAATCTTACTTTACTTCCCAAGGGATGATTCATTAGCATGTTATCATTGAATAACGTGCAATTGTCATCATTGTGTTTTGAAATTTCTCGAGTTTGGGTCGAAAATATGATTCTATCATATTGAAGTAAGTAAACCTTAGTCTCTCATTTAATAGGGTAGCTGACATCGTTATGTGGATAGTTTACCAGTTTACTGGATGAGAGGAATACGAGCTAATAATTGGGTTGTATTGTTAGGGTTGGTTGATATCGTGAATAATTAGCACTGGGGGGTGAATACGAGTTAGATTTTACCTTAAAAATCCACATTTTTTAGCTTGGTTTGGTTTGAACTCGACAGGAGATAGGCTTCGTATAAAAAATTAAAAATGATTTCTTTCATACATTTAAAAAATTAAGCTCGTGAGTTTTTTGAGCTGAGCTCTATGCTATTTGAATCAGTGTTTTAAAAATTGACCTATAAGCTATTTGCCTTTGAGTTGCGGGTCTCCGGTTCAACCATTCAGGTTGAACGGGTTAGATTGCTCTATATGCATATAAATATATATTTTATTAATAAATAGTGTGTAATTATATTTTATATATAATACATGTATTATTTTATGTTTTTTAATTTTTTATGTACAAAAAATATTAAAAATTGTGATTTGAGGCCAAAAGATGTTATTTTGCGTAACAGCGGGACAATGTGCCTATGATGCATTGGGACACATAGATCTCGAAAAGTTACTCAAAATAAAAAAAATCACCTTAATCAAACATCGGAATACAAAATTATGGCCTTCGAAAGTTTGTATATACATTGAGTGTGCAACTCGTGACTTAGTGACTAGGGCGAATGGGTCAATGCATTAAATTACCCAGATCGGATGATTTTAGGCCAAGTCAACATTTTTTGATTGAAGGGTGGATTTCAACAGAACTATACTTAAAATTAAAACCAGATAATAGTTCAAACGGTTCAACCATTTGGATCAACAGTGGATTGAAAATACTGATTTGAACTTTGACTAACTTAATGATCAAACATGTATATTAAGCTCAACTTCGTCACAAAGCTCAATTTGGATCGAGTCAAATCAAGTTTTTCATGAATCAAGCTCAAATGCCACACAAATAACTTGGTTCGTTTCACTCGTCTGGTACCATCCAAGTTGATATGGGGCTAAGATCGCAATTGGGCGGATTTGGACAACTTGGGTTTGGGTCGATTTTCAGCCATTCATCTTGTCTGTATACCCATTAGTGACCCATTTTCATAGAAAGTGGCCAAAATCCGATCTATATTTATTCTAACTCCTCCAAGTCATCACCATTTATGATACAGGGGATGATTATGGGTTGGGCCGGGTTGGGTTTTTACATGGGCAACCAAGAAATTAGGGCTGTGTTTGATTGTAATACAAATGCAAATATGTATATTACATATTTACCTATTTTTCGGTTCATGAATACAAATACGGTTCACATTTTAAACCGTTTTTGCATTCATCCTGTTTGTTTGAAATCGGTGCAAAGGTGTGGGCCCATCATTAACTGTTCCAACTGCCTTATGCTTCAATACCCCAACTTTGGTCAAAAAATTAATTATCAAATGAATACAAATTTGTATCTAAAAAATAGATACAGTAATGCTCTCTTTTTAGAGTACAAAAGTGTCAAAAAAGGCAATTTTACTTTAATAATCATTACTTTTTTACGTTTCAAATAAATGCTTGCAAACACGAATCGGGGTATAAATACCCCGATTCGGCGTTTGTATCGCAAACAAACGCAGCCTAGAGAAAATCTAATTGTCATTGACACATGATTTGCTATGCAGCCTAAAGTCCAACTTGGGGTGGGCTAGCCTTGGCTAGACTCGTAAATGATGCTACATCTTTGCGCATACAATTTGCCCATTGACAACAATGTAGCAACCAAGCCCAAACTTATGAGCCTAACTCCATAGGCCCATTTTCAAAGTCCATAAGTCCCAAGTCCTGGTTCCCGCTGACCGGGGGAACGATGGGATGACTTCGTCAATTTTGGAAAAATATAAGGGCATTATCGTAATTATGTACGTTGAAATCGATTCATTTAAGCCTACGATCCATTTCGTGTCTTCGGGTAAGAGCTCTGCAAATCTCGAGCTCATAAACCCTAGAGGCAATGGCGAAGCTCTTTGTCACTTTAATTTTACTGCTTCCACTTCTTTGTAACTGTTTCTCCTCAGAGAACCCTACGGATCGACGTATTCTCGTATTGCTGGACGATTTGGGGATCAAATCCTCGCATTCAATTTTCTTCCGGTCTCTGCAATCTCGCGGATTCGAACTTGATTTCAAGCTCGCAGACGATAAGAAGATCACTCTACAGAGATACGGCCAGTACTTATACGATGGCTTGATTCTGTTTTCTCCGACTGTTGAGCGTAAGTTCCACATTCCACAGTTATAGATATCTGTGTTTTTCTGCAATCAAAAAATTTTATTTTGTGGAGAATTTGCTATCTGTTGTACACGATCCCCAGCTTTTTGGAAATTGTAATGGAAAGTTACCGGATTTTATATTTAAGTATTATTATTACACATTCTCTATGGCCAACGTCTTTCTGCTTGCTCGAACCATCAAATTTCAGGCTTTGGAGGATCATTGGATTTATCTGCTGTTATGGATTTCGTTGATTCCGGTCATGATTTGATCGTTGCTGCTGATGTTTCCGCATCTGATCTGATTCGGGACATCGCCACTGAATGTGGAGTTGATTTTGACGAAGTGAGTGTAGCACTCATTCTTTTTCCAGACATAGAGTCAATTACTTCACTTTATCTCGTTTCTGTTCTAGTATTTTTTTCTAGATATTCTTCTACATCATTATTGTTTTGTTTATTCGTGGTAGCAGGATCCCGCGGCAATGGTTATTGATCACACCAGCTATGTTGTTTCAGAAACTGAAGGCGATCATACTTTGATTGCTAGTGATGATTTTATTCAATCTGATGTGATCTTGGGCAGCAAGAAGATTGAGGCAAGTTCTTAGCACTTGCAAGATGGAGATTTTGCATATCATAATTGAATTGTTCCCATCACCCCCCACCCCTCATGTCCATGCACATTAACACCAACATGATGGTAGTTCCACTCGAACTTCTATATGACATTGTTATTTTGTCTTTGAAACCATGTACGTTGGAAACAAGCTCATGCGTATCAGCACCAACATAATGGTGGTTCTGTTTGAATCACAAACTGATGTTGACTGCGGCCCCCCCTCTCTCTCTCTCTAATCTAGTTTATGTAATTTGGGTTTTCTTTGTTTCGATTACAAACTGATATTAACTTCAGGTACCCCTCGTAGTTAATTTATGTAGTTCACAAATGTGTAGTCTTTCTCTTTTTAAAAAAGTCTCATGACACAATTAATGACCTGTTCCAGATTTTGGCATTATATTGATTGATTTCTTAATTCTTATAGACTTATGGATGATCATAATATTATTGTGAGCTGATTCTTTCTGAAACATGACACAGGCTCCCGTACTCTTTCAAGGAATTGGCCATTCACTAAATGCTGCTAATAACCTGGTATTCTGAATATATATATATATATTTTTTTTTTCTTTTTTGGAGTTTATTTACTGTAAGGCATACTGGACATCCAGTTGCAAACTAATTTCAATTTCTCATCGACTGCACCTAAAGTCGTTCTTCCTTTGCTTTATGACATCTTTAGGTGTTAAAAGTTCTTTCAGCATCTTCCTCAGCATATTCTGCTAAACCTGGGGCCAAGTTGTCAAGTCCTCCATCTCTCACAGGATCTGCCATATCTCTAGTCTCAGTTGTGCAGGTATTTTGACAATCTCTGGTTATATAATATGTACTTGTGAGATGGTTGGGAATAATAACAGGAAAAATATTATAGTTTTATTGGTAGAAGGAGTTTTATCAACAGTACCGATGGGATAGAAAAGAATGAAAAAGGAATGATTGCAAACAGATAAACATACAAGAGGCCCATGGTAGAAGGACCATCTTGGCTTGCTTTTAGCCACTAAATTAGCCAACCTTGGCACTTCAGAGAATGGGAGTTTTGAAATATATATATATATATATATTCATTTTATTGGTATGATGGTATACAAGTTGTGCATTTACTTTTGAGTTTCTAATATACACAAGTTTTGGTTATTTTCAAGAATCTATTTGGTGCATGCATTTTTCTCTGATTAATCAACAAGTAGTACTTCAAGGCATTAGTTCTACCATCTTTATTTACTGGATTGTAAGTGCATTCTTTATTAGTAATTTAGTACCATAACTATAATATGTTAATTAATATAAATAATAGGGTGTACAAAGATATACACAAAAGAAACAAAGAGAAGTAAAAAGATGGTTGCTGCAGTAGTTTGTCTTCATTTTACTAGATGTTTTCATAAATTTTCTTTTCAGTTTCTTTTTTTCCCTTGGATGTGTTAAGGATTTCGAAACCTTATTGTGGATTTTGTTTCCCATCTGCCCAACATGTTTTATTTGGGAATTGTATTTCTGTGAACTCTTGTATTTTTTCAAGGGCCGATAACTTGACATTATTGTAAATTTATTAGGGGGTGAGTAAAGCTGGACAACCCAAAGGCTAAGCTGAAGAAGGTGTTATATAATAAAGAATACTGGCTTTTCCAAAAGAAAAAGTGTATATGATCCAAAATGATGTTAGTGCATTTACAGACTTGATAATTAGAATTTGAGCCAATATGGTAATATTATTACATGTTTTCATACCAATGCTGAAGTTTCCCCTGGTTTATTGAAAGAGTGTATAGATTATGGTACTTATGAAATTCTGTTCTCTGATGTTCTTGCATTTTTAGTTTTTATCAAAAGAATAACTTTAATGAGGTTGCCCCCTAAGTAAAAGTGATAACATGTTTTCTTTTATCATATGAATATGATATCATTGTTTGTTGTTGGGTATTTTTAACTGTTTAGAATATTAAATCTCATACCATCATATAGGAACTTTGTTTCTGGTGATAATAGTTCATTCACATTGCAGGCAAGAAATAATGCACGGATATTGATCTCTGGCTCTTTAGCTTTGTTCAGTAACAGGTATATGATATTTTTCAGTTATAGATTTGTTCTCTAAGACATTCATTTTCACTGATACACTATTGATCTATAATTCAGGTTTTATAGATCAGATGTGCAAAAAGCTGGAAGCTCAACCAGGTAATGGAGTTTGTTTTGTCTTTGCTTTGTGTAGGTTTGCTTGGTTGATTTTTCTGGTTATTTGATTCCTGAAGTTCATGCTTTTTATTTTCATTTTAAACAGATTTATTATGTTTTTAGGTCAAGTAGGGAGCTTCCCTGCACAATTTGCCACATCTTTCATTTGGGCTGATGATGTGGGTAATCTGAGCCATCAACCAAGTAGA